ACAGGACGGAGCAGGGGTGGAGGCCAAGCAGGGCCCTACAACCCCTGGGCAGGGGCAGCACGAGAGTGACCCCTGCCCAGGGAAGGAGCCCTCTGCATTCCCCGTGGGGCTGTAGCCTGGCAGGGAGCGGGCATCTGCACTGGGGGAAGGTGCGGGGGGAGGAGGGGGCAGGGAGGATGTGGGGGGCGCTCTGCTCTGCCCCACTGTGGGAGCCTGCAGTTACCTGCATGTTGGGGGCTCCTGGGGCAGGGGTCTGGGAGCCGGGGCTGGGCTGTACCAGGAGTTTTGTGCAATAAAGAGCTCACGCAGGCACGAGTTGTTCTTCTCTGGGCCTGGCCCTGTCTCTCCCGGCTCCCCAGTCCCAGTGTGGGGGCTACTTAGGGTGGGGGGACGGTGGGTAGGGACCCCACAGCAGCAGGAGGGTCCTGTCCTCACACAGACCCGCTGCCCATAGACAGGCACTGCCTGGCATCGCCTGCCCCGGGGGCAGTTCCCATACAGACACAGGATGCAGCTGGGCCACCCCAGCAGCAGGCTCAGACCAGGCCTGGCCGGGGGGACGCGGTGGGACGGGGGTGCTGCCGGGGGACGGCAGAGAGCAGGGACCTCCAGCACCCCAACCCCACCCTGTGCGGACCCTGCCCAGCCAGAGACCTCCGCACAGGGACTGGAGAGAGAGAAACCAACAGCACACACGTGTGTGAGCACAACCCTCGGTGCACATTTATTTTCTAACTACCTGAAGTGCCTGCTCTTCCCTGGGCCATTATTTCTGTAAATGCAGTGTGTGTTCATTTTCAAAGAACTTAGTACAACACATTAAGGTAAAAAATATTGTTTATTTTTAAAGAATCTAGTACAACATATTCAATGTTTAATGTGGAATGGAAAAAAATAGATCCATATAATAATGACAATATAACTGAAATAACTATCCAAAATGCAGTGGTACCAGGTTGCTGTCTGAGAAGTGAAGTAATCCCAGTCACTGGAAGCCCCAAAAAGGGTCAAGTAAAAAATAAACCACCTATCATTTTCTTTGGATGGTATTCAGTGATTTTGGAAGGTTTCAAGCAGACAGGACTAGCCATTGTCAATTTATAAGCGAACATACAGCCACACACAAAGATGTACACTTCATTATGTATATATAGAAGAAGCTGTTACACTCTCCTCACCTGGCACCCCACCCCCTGCAACCCCAAGGAAAAAAAGGGAAGAAAAGGGAAAAAGGATTGCATTGTCCAAAGCAACGTCCAGGGTCAAAGGTCAGAGCATTTGGCCTCCTCTGCTGTGCCCCTGACCTGGGGCTGTCCAGGCACCTGGTGCCCGGCTAGACCACAAGCTGCTTTATATCAGGCTTTTGTGTGTCCTGTGCCCATGGCCATCCTGGGGTCATCTCAGGCTGCAGGGACCAGGTGCTGTGCACGGAGCAAGCTGGAGCAGCACAAAGCAACACCACACGCTGAACCGCCCTGGAAAAATAGGCTGAGGCTGAACATGCCATCAACTCAGCACAGGGAGACTCCAGGGCAGGGGGAGCACCTCTGCACCATGGGGACAGGGTGTCCAGGCTATGACAGTCCTCACAGCATCGATATTTGCAGCAGGGCAGGGGAGCAGCATTTGAACCCTGATGCAGAGGGCAGAATGGGTGCCTGGCCCCTCAGGACCCAACCCCAGCACGTGGGGGCAGACAGGGCTGAGGCCAGGTACCACAGCCCAGTACGGCTGAGGACAGCCCCAATTGCTCAGCTGGCCAAAAGGTTGAGCACCGCTGCCCTAGGGCCAGGCACTGCCCCGTGCAGTGTACGCCCTGCCCATCTGCCTGGGGAGAATCATCACCAAGGACATCTCGCCTCTGCCTGTTCTTGTAATAAAAAGGAAACTCGGGTCCAAACCTGCAACGAGCAGCACCCAAATCCCACCCCATTCCCCTCACCGGCTGCAGCCAAGCTGGTCTCATTTCATATGCCAGCTATTTGCAACCCCATAGCAAGGATCTCTGCTCTGGCAAGATAAGGCCTGTGCAAGGGAGAAATAAGTGCAGGTTTATGGGCTAAATCAAGGCTGAAATGAAGGTGTTTGAAAGGTGTGAATGGGCTGGAGCTCCATGTTTTTTGCTGTTCCCGCTCCTCCTCCCTGGGCCCCTCCGGAGGCAGCGCAGGCTCCACCTGGATCCGTTAAACTGTGGAAATGAGACACAGGAGACGTAGCAGCCGGAGGGACGGCAGCAGTGGGCAGACACTGACCTGGCACTCAGCTCCACCTGGGGTCACTCCCTGCACCGAGGGGAGGAGATGCCCCCTCCAACACACCGCCCACTGCGGGGTCCCCCGCGCTGCGCCCGCTCTGCTCCCAGCAGTGCCTGGGCTGCAGCCCCTTCCCAGGCTTCCTGGGATGTCATCAGACACCCCCGCTCTGCCCCTCTCCCCCAGGAGCACAAGGGCTGGTGCAGGCCCATGGTCACACAGCTCTCCTGGCACTTGGCCCCCTCGGCACCCCAGGGCACAGGAGAGCCAAGGAGACAGGAGCTGTTGGCACTGAAGTCAGGAGCCCTTTGCACTGCCCCTGGCCTGCAGCCATGGGGACCAAGTGCCAGGTGCCAGGGGCTGGGCAGGGCTGAATCCCTGCTCCGCACCCCTGGGCTGACCCTGCTCCTGCCCCTCACCCAGAGCTCACGCCAAGCGGGTGGGATTTCCAGGAGCTCCATGGCTTCACACCCAGCCGGAGCTGCTAGCTCCATGGGAGGGAGGGTGAGACCTGACCCCAGCCACAGCTGCTGCCACCCCCGAGGCACGTGGGCCTGGGAGCCCAGAGCAGGTGGAGAATGCACTGTCCTCCCAGGTGCCAGGCACAGCAGTGATGAGCCCTTCCTGCTCCCCTGCACCAAGGCCTGGGCACGGCCTGGCTCCAAGGGCTTTTCCTAGCACTTACTGTGGCAGTAAACACCTGCAATGACCCACACAACACCAGTAATGATGCCCAGTCAGCATTGGGTTGGACTCTGGAAGAGGGAAGGGGTCTGTGTGTGAGGGGAACCCCCAGACCTGCCCCCAGTGATGCATGGGCCTGGTGCCCCCTCCCCATCAGTACCCCTGCATCCTCTGACCCCCCAATTCCTCCCTGCTCAGTAGTGTCAGTCAGCTCCTCCCTCCTGAGCACCATGTTTCTTCTCCCTCCCCATGCGGGGGTCACTCACCCGTCCGGCCCTTGTCCCAGGCCACTCTCAGAGCTGCCCCCAGGCTCTCGTGCCTCACGCTGCAGGCGTAGTTGTGGTTGCTGCTCGGGTCAATCTCGATGGTGGCCCAGGTCTGGTAGGTCCCATCTCTGCTGGGAAGGACCCCTGCATGGCTCGTCTCCTGGGGCTGCACCTCCCCATTTTTCGTCCTTGGGGCAGAAGCCATGGACCTGGCAGGCTAGGGTGGTGCGTCTGCCCCAGGATGATGGCTTGTCGCTCACCTGTGCCATGGGACGCTCTGGGAGGGAGGAGACACCTGCTAGAGTGACTGCCCTGTTGGGCCCCCAGCCCCCCTGCCAGGAGCCCGGGCTGGGCCCTGCACCGGGCCACACAAACTGGCTCCAGCACCCATTTGAGGCAGGAGCAGGCAGTGCTGGGGGAGGAGCGCGGGGGATGGGAGACACGGATGCGCTGGGCTCAGGGCTGCAGGAACAGGGTTCGACACAGCTGATCTCTGGTTCTCAGACACGCGGCCAGGGCAGGGACACCACGTGGGCTCTGCCCAGCTGGGAGGCCTCACCAGGGCAGGGATAGGGGCACCGTGTCCTACAGCTGTGCTGGGGTCTCACCCAGCAGCAAGACCAAGAAGCAGTGGTCGCCATCCTGGACACAGGGGGATGGGGCAGGCATTCCCTGGGGTGAGGGGGTGCCTGGTCAGTGCTGCCCTGGGCGGTGACACCGGGACTCGCTGCTCTGCCGTGCTGCCTCCCCATGCTGCAGGTCCTGCCGGAGCCACTTGCTGCAGGTCTCCTGCAGGTAGGCTCCTGCATGCTAAAGAATGGCCTTATCCTCATTCCACCTGCGCTGGGTGACCTGGGTCTGCGTTGTTCCTGCTACCCAGGTGTGTGTTTTCGGGTCATAGCTGATGAAGTCTCCCATGTCTCAGCTGAA